TTTTTATTTAATTCTGCATTTTAAGATGTTTTCATTTAATTTTAAAAAAGGTTCTGCACATAAAATGGGAACTTGGTGCTCATACTTACATGTTTAACAAAAAGCGATCCTAATTTTTCTGGATCCTCAAGGCACTTCTCTAATTCTCCTAAAAAGAAACTGCAGAGAAAAAAACACAAAAACAGAACTTTTGTTTGTTTCAATAGGGCAAGAAGTAATCCTTTCAAAATAGATTGATTGCATTTGCTCCATTGAAGATTATTGCCTTCTGATCCCTGCTTCAATGAACATGTGTGAAGAACACTTCTGAGATTGCCTGCATGGAGCTGACTAAACAGTAATTTTCCCTGTGTAGAATATCCTGTCAGAAACTGGGTCATAACAAACAGACATCAAGTAGTAAATGTTTCCTACCTTTCATATAGTAGTAGTAGCTGCTAATACTAAACAGAACACATATCAGGACATTTACTCTTACATACCTCTAAACTTTAACAAAAACAAACTGAAGCATTATCTTTAACCAGCACACCTAAGGGGAAAAAAATTCACCTTAAATAAATAATGTCTCAAGAGCCTGTACTGAAAGCTGAGAACTGGATATAGTCCAAGGCCTATCTATTAAGGTTTCACCACTCATTCACAGACATATTAAAGGGGAAGGGAGAGACAGGTGGTCATTTTGAGACCTAATAATAATTGTAATAAAGTTCTTCCACATACAGATTCTTCAGAGATAGTCAAATCCCTTCTGAAATGCCCTTTGAGTGTGATTAGTTCGTCAGACAGTTATTTTTATCTGTAGACTTTCCAATATCTGTCTCTCATATATTCAGCCCAGGGGGCAAATGCTGTTTGCTATCTGAACAGGTCTCAAAATAGAGATGTTATCTATGGTAGACTTCTTCAATTATAAAATAGGGGGACTTAAATTTTCAGCTAAGTCTGAAAGAGAGCAATCAAAGCTTCTGCCTATAATTAAAAGGAATGTTATTACTGTACATCTGAAGGATTTAAACCTATCCACATAAGTACAGGGTGATCTTGATGAAGCTGCATGGGATGTCTAATAGTAATAGGTTATTAGAAACAATGAGTAGCTATTGAAGCATCATTCTAATACATACATGTACTTCAACTCCTAAAACTTCCCAGCCAGCATAGGATTGCTGAGGATTCTGGGACTTGGAAGTCTATGCACCTAGGGGGTGCACCAATCACTAGCTTGCATTATCTACATATCCATGATAAAACTGAACTAATCTTCATCTGCAAAGAATAGTCTGCTGTCTTGGGCTCAGGAAAATCCATGTCAAGCGTAGTGCCCCTACTCTGAATAGCAATCTATTAAAAATAAACTGCTTATTTTGATAAGGAATGTCTGACTGACCATGCCATTTTCATTTGTTCTATTATTTACCAGAATATGTTAAGACATATATCAAAAGCAAAGTGGACTATGGAATAAAGAATGGTAGATGCCATTTATTTGTGTCACTTTCATATTATATCATAATAAATTGGGATTTTGGGGGAAAAGGGAAGGGGCAACAGTACTTTTGGCTGCATCTCAATTTGTATTTCTATGGAACTGTACAAGTTGAAGAAAAGTGGGAAAGGAAAATGTTATTAATGTGACATAATGGCTACCCACAGGTAAAATTGGACTATGTTTTGCTGAAACAAAAACAAACCAAATAGAGAAATAACTTCTTCACCTTTATCATCTTTCAAGTCCATCCAAATCTTTTTTCCAATATGGTATTTTGTAATATTTGGGCTTTGTTTACCCACCTCTTCAATAAGTCATGCAAGATTAAAAACAGTATGAAATTTACTCAAAAATAAAAACCACACATACTCTCTGTGCCAGTCATAAATTTGATGAATGTTGCCAAACACAATTTTGTCTTTTCCTTTCATGTCATCAGGAACACCATCTTCTTTCATGAGCGCCATATAACCCTAAAATAAATTAGCAAGGAAAATCAATAAGGGTCCTGTTATTTATCTGCTGGTATGTTTAAATTCAGTCTGATGCCCTATCCCATTCTCTATTCACCAAATGTGTGTTTAAATTTTACAAAAATGCTTAACATTTCTTAACAGAAAAAAACAATGCAAGGTGATTCTGAGCAAGTTCTTTGTTGTTGAATGCCAGTGTCCTACTGGATGTGAAAGTCCACCTCATCCAAGCCTTTATCAGGCTGGTGACCTTTTTGCCTACAATTTGCAAATTTCCCAGCCAGTATGAACAAAAGCAATAATCCTAACGTGCACAAGGTGAGCAACCAGAAATCACTCATTTAGCAGCAGAAAAATAATTTGCCCAAATTGTTGAAAAGAAATTAAAATCCTTCCCATAATGGCCAAATATATAACTCTAATAAGCCTTGAACTTCCATATGTAATGTTATCAGTTTGGGTGCTTTACCTATAATGCCACGACTCATCAACAAAAAAGAACAAGGAGAGACCAAAATAAAATATTCATCTGAAACTTAATAGCAGCATAAATACACACACCTATTCTGGTTGCTAGGGAAAGCTTATGTCATGTTTAAGTATTATTCCCAGTAAATAATACTAGTGTGAATTGATTTCTTGCCTATATGCTTCTTTCTTTCTTTCTTTCTTTCTTTCTTTCTTTCTTTCTTTCTTTCTTTCTTTCTTTCTTTCTTTCTTTCTTTCTAATAGTTCTAAATGCATCTGTAATTCTCCTACATTGATACAAGGGATAACCTGTTGGATATTTATTCTGAAACAAATTACATCTGCTCAGAATCAATAACTTTATGATTATAGCAGTATGCTTTTCAGTGTTCAGAAATGAGTGGCTCCATGAACTTTTCCTCTGTGAACTGAACCCAGATACATGATTATGTGGATAGTTTTCGATCTTGAAGTGGTTCTTTGTGCAAAATCATACGTAGAAGTTGCATTCACAAGAATCTTGAAAAGATTAAAAAACCTTTATATGTTGTTTGACATAGAACTGTCCTGTACATAAACTCCTGGAACATGTATAGCTATATCTGGTAGTACATGAAATAAGTGTTTGTTATTTCATAGCAGTTCCAGCAGAAGATTCATTATAGCCTAATACTACTGAGGCATTGAACAATATTGATCCTCCAAATCAAGAATTTAATACAATGAGTATCAATAAAACTGGTGTTGGGAAAACTCTACAACAGATATGTGTTTGTGTGTGTGTGCGGGTCTATATATCTATATTTATATCTTTATCTATATATCTGTAATCAGCCAGTTTTAATTAACTTCCCAAATATCAGCTACCTTACAACTCTTAAACTTGCTCCTTCATTCAAGGGTTCTTGTATCTATTAACATGCATGATGATTAAAATATGCTTCAGCTGTCCAGCAGTAAGGCAGTCAGTTATTCCATTGCTTACACTCCTACACAAGGATTCAACAGAGTCCTTCGCTACAAATATTATATCAAGCCAGTTCTAAACATTCAACAACTTATTTTACAACAGATTCAATAAACAGCATGCAATGCTAGTCTTGTATAGGAATGGAAACTAATTATTGCCAAGTTTTGAAATTTACATGTCTAGATGTCTATAAATGGTTGCACTGACAGTTGATAAAAATTCCTTTTGAAAGATATTATGGTCAACACTCCAACAACATCAGGAAATGTTATTCGGCAACTGCAAATTTTAACTGATTTTATTTTTAACCAGAAAGAACCAGTATACTAAATGAAAAAGAAATTAAAATAGATTTCTTGAATGATTGCTAATAATATCTTCTAAAGATGATTGGATAGATAGGAATGGTAAATTCATGCTTCTGATTTGATTAATAAAAATTAGGACCATTCTGCTAAGGATGAAACATACCTCTACTACATAGCCAAGATCTCTCACATAATCTCGTTCTGTCTCTACTAATTCCTGTAGGACATACCTGTAAAATTATGAAACAGTAAAATGACAGAGAGGAATTTAATAATACCAATTATCAGTTTATGTACATTCAAATACAAATAATATCAGAACATTCTGGCTGTATTTAGATAGCTAATAATCTAAGCTATTAATTGATTAATTATTAAGAACTACTTAAAACCAGAGATTATGTTATAATAAGAAATGAACAAAATGATATCCCCTCATAGATCTGAATGGCTCTCACTCTGATGATATTTCTGGCTACTCTCCCATGCATTGGAGTAGATTTAGGGTGCAGCCTAAATACTTGCATATTATCCCAGTAATCAGCCTTAATATTAGTTTAACCATTATTTTCAGCCCAGGGAGTGTAGAACATTTGCCATCCAATGTAAACTATCAGTCCCTATTTTGTTTACAATGTCAGATTTGACATATTTGGTCCTTAGTCTATGGTCATTCTAACCCCTCTGGATTTGTTGGAAAAGGAACTAGTTTTTCCATAAGAATGTACTTGGGTGTAGTCTTTGCTATGAAGACAAAGAGCTCCCCACCTACTATGGCTTCATTCATTTCAGTACAAGATCAGGAACTTTTAGTTAAAACTTAAAAAAGGGAAAAATGTCAATAAGCTGCAAGAGATTCGTAAAGGTAACTGTTTTTTCCTAAAATTTATTTTAAAAATGTTTAAAAATTGTATGCCAAGTGGATTTTCTATATTAATCTATTCCACAATTAGATGTATTACTAGGTGCATTCTTGGTCCTTCTGGTTATCATTTGAGTGAAGCTAAACACAACAATTTAAGCATATTAGCTGTGAGCTCCACACCTTTCTAAAGGAGTCCTGCTTTAGTTCTTTAATTGGTGATTTTGTCTCCATGATTTAATGTGCAATGTTAATTATTGTACTTGAAAGGACAATTTTAATGGTGAAATCACTGACTTCATATATGCAGTCTTGATTCATCAGATACAAGATGGGACAATAATCTTAATCAATCTCTTTGCTATCGTTTTGAAAGCATTAGAAACCCAAGTTTGGTCATGAATAATAAAGAAAACTGTCAAAATATGGCAGAATCTTCAAAAAATTAATCATGTTTAATTTTGTCTTATAGAAGAATGAAAACAACCTTAAAGGCTTTATATCACAAAAAGCAAAGGACAAATGTTCTTCTTAAGCAATGACAGACTGTAAAAAAATTGATAGTCTAGTCTTACTGTCTCCTCTTTAAAGAACTGGATTTCCGTTCCTCCATCTCATCAATGGGTGATGAGGAGGAGAGAAGTGAGTTGTCTGAAGGATTGAATGATGGGCTGCTGCTGTCACCCTGGTCTACCATAAGTGAACTTGGGCGATCCTCTAGAGCCTAAGAGCAAGTTGAAAAACATTGTTTATTTCCTTTAAATTGCGTGCATTGCAAATCTAATAGGAGCCGGATGACATCTTACACACAACTTATTTAACTATCAATAATACATATCCTATTATTTTATTATTTTAAAAAAGATGCTACTTACAACTTACATTTTCACTATTAGATAAATTAACTTTAAAAAATAACTCCAAGATATTATAAACTTTTTCCTCTATTTTTATTTTTCCCAGGGGTATTTGGGTGGCCATACTTGGGGTAAAAAATGCTGGGTAGCACATTTTTATCTAGATCAAGTAAGATTCCTATACTCTCATGATTAATATGACCACATAATATACCACATATGCGAGTCTGAACTTTCTACTGGATGCAAGCAAGCAAGCAAAAACAAAAAACAAAAAAAAATCACTCACCATTTTGCTCTTCACAAGCTCCTCTATTGCACTGACAAGCTCTGCTGCACTGGGAGTTTCTGAGCTGGTAGGACGTACCAATAAACGAGAAGATGTCTACGGAATGGAGTTAAGATGGGGATGGAGAGATGGAGGGGAGAAACCCATCTTATTAAACAAATATTTTTTATAACCTTTTAATGAATAATTCACCTCACTTCCTACTTCTATTCAAACAACACAGCAAACCCTGCTACTGACAAATGTTACACTCTCTGTATCTTTCACTTACTTGTAATATACCATCTTGCAATGGTAACATACAATTGGCTTGTGGGGAACCTTAAATCTTTCTGTATTACCTACTGTATTACCTGCTGAAGTTAATTATATTTGAACTGTGGGTAAGAGTGAAACTTCTTTAGAACTGAACATTCGAAAGAGGAGCAGGAACATTTTGCTTACAAGGAAAATTCCTTATACCATCTATTTTCCTGAATAGAAGCATAAAACATAAATCTAGAAGATCTCTAACCTCAAAAATTACAGGGTTCCAATTTCTGGCTGCAAATGATGAGAAATGGTGTGGACAGTGAAAGCTTCTGGGAGAAGATTTCAGGGATTAGTAAATAAGCAAGTCTGTTTGTAGACTGCATGCATCCCTAAGTAACTGGAATCTAAACAAGTAATATAAAGTTCACTTCATAAAACATGCAAAATATGTTATGCTTTTTTCACTACTGTACAGAAACGTTAAAAATAATCAAGAAACAGTGTTTCAGAATATGGAAGTTTGTTCATTCTTATCTATATGAGAAGATTGGCTGCCCCATAATGTAAATAATACTTGAGTGTGTTCTAAATGGCTTCAGTGAGACGGGGACACAGGAAATGGGGGATCTACACGAATACCTAGAAATTGTGCCAAATCAGACAGAACAAAAAATCAACATAATGCTAATTAAAGGTGATTTTTTTTGGAAAAAGGCATCAAAGAAAAAATACTGCATAGCAGCTCTTGTAGCAATTGTTATAAAAAGCAATTTATAAAGCACTACCAAACAGATTAACTACAGACAATGCAGGTGTGTTCCAATGACTCAGGTCTTCATTTGTTGACACCCAAATTAACATGGCTTGACAGATCTGTGTGTGTTAGGATACTGCATTTACTTCTGATCTGGTGTGATATCTGCAGTAATATGTTGGTTTGCAAGGTAGTCTCTAGATTAGAGATCTTGGTTTGCTTAACAAAAGCATGCTTGGAGTTAAACTGGGCTTTGGTCGTCCTTGGTTCTGCCCAAACTGATCAGTACCATCCTCACAGTATGGAAAGTAATACTGATGTCAGAAAGTGGAAAGGAAACAAATGTTATAAATGGTAGTATCCAAGAAAAAAAACGATGAAAAGGAGGTAATAAATGCTGTGAGAATCTTGAAAAATGGCAATGGTTCAGGTTTAGATACATTCAGTAATATTAAAATATGAATGTAGTTTGCTTATGGAGCAGCTGTGTGACTTGGTTAGCATCACTGCTTGAAGACTGAAAGAACCGTTCCCCTACATAAAGGGAAGGGCAGCAAGAATGAATGCAAAATCTACAGGGGGATTAGTCTGTTAAATGTGCCAGGGAAGATATTTGGCAGAATTTTGATTGAAAGACTACAAGAGGTGAAAGTAAGCAAAACCTGGCAACTGTTGTTTGGCTTTATGCTGGCAGGTATATGCAGACTAGATTTTTGCTGTTCAGCAAGTATCTGAGAAATGTAGAACTGTGAAAAAGAAACTGTATTGTACATTTGTTGATTTAGAGAAGGCATGTGATAAAGTGCCACTAACCCATGAGAACTGAGATTTCTCTTTTTTATTCATCTGCTAGAAATTCTATGCAATCAACATTTTTTTAATGGAAGACTATTTGCAATATAAAATTACTTTTCAGAGCGGAAGTGTTGCTAAGATATGGGAAGCCTCCTTGTATGTCCATGCATAGTAAGACTGAAACCACGCCTCTGCCATAGACACTGATATTAACACCCTGAGGCAACAGAGATAGTGAAGGGAAGCTGACGGAAATCTGTGGATCTCAGACTGGTTCCTGAGCTCCGTATGCAGAGAGGTAAAAGACAAAAGCCAGAGGTCGTTAAAATAATTTATTGTACTTAAAATTTCAGCTGAAATCTTTGTGAAAAGTATATGTACGTATTGTGTGTCTGTGTCTGTGAAACACAGGACACAACTGCATATAGAAAGCATTACTCAACTCAGAGAAGAGAATAGATGAACTCTTTGTCAAGTAGGGCTCATTCTACACATTGCAGCTACCGCAGCAAGATCTAAATCTGAGCCAAAATATTTGATTTTCTAAATAAGCTAACTAAGAGCAGAAAGGATTTTAAGCCTGAGAAACTTTTTATTAATGTCTAAGAACACTATACTGCAGATTCTGTCATCATTCTGTATACCGCGGGAGTCTTTTTCACCAGCTACCAGGAAATCTCCTCTGCCATCAAGGATGTGGCTACCTTAGCAATGATTAACATCCATAGGAGAAAGCCACAAGAGTTCCAGAAAACGAAGAAGGAAATAAAAACCCATACCCCCAACCACTGAAAATGTCTGGCTTTCTGAGAATGATGGCATGTTGCCAAAAAAATAAGACACCCCTTTATAAAGACATTATAAAATTAATTCTGAATACAGTGAAATCTCATTTTAACAGACCAATTAAGGGAGGAGGTATTTGTTATTCACAAACAGATATTAAATACAAAAGCATGTTTTTGACATGACTGCATGCAACTCCATTGTATCAAAGTCCATTACATCAAGGTTTCACTGTACTTTAAACAGAATAGAAACTGAAGGTATCTGAAGCATTGGGATTTTTTTTTAAATTGGAAAATAACTATTCAGTGTCTGGAGAAAGACTGAGGTTATGAACTACTACCCTCCTCTCTACATGGATGAAAATAAAATTCTACACTTCCAAAAAGTTAGAGTGAATCAGATGTAAATTACACTGAAGTGGATGCCTTCCAAAATTCAGTGTGAGCTCAAACAGAAACCTAGGTTAATTATTTAACATATGAGTAACAAAACCACTTCCTCAAGAAACTTTGCACGAATAATGGAGAACTGGCAGATCCATAATGAAAATGATAGAAATAATTTGAGCATGCCAGATGCAACAGCCAGTACCAGTGTGCTGCACATGGTTAAACCCAGTGAGGTGCATTTAGCTAGCTCTCCCCTGATCTTCGAAAAATGAATACTGAGATTGATCTGCTCTGGGATTTTGTGATTTTGAGGTTCATTGGCCTTTTTCTTGCTTTGTTTTTATCTATATGTATCTTTGCATTGTTGAATTTTACCCAATATTTTATCTGTTGGACTGAAACTGATTTAAAAGCTCATAGAGCCAGAACAGAGAATAGAATAGAGAATAGAAGTTTACACATTTAACAGTCTTAAATGTTAAAGACTGTTTAACATTCTTAAATGTTAAGAGAGAGATGTTTCAGGAGCTAGTTAGTTAAATAAGATTTTTTTAAATTTGGAGGCAGATTTTTGAATTGATACATGTGCTGACCATGACCATTAAAACTAGAACAAAGTACATGTAATAGCTAAGTGCAAGTGAAATAATTATGTAAATTGGCTTAAAATTGCATAATTTCTGCAAAATCCCTTGCGCAGATTGTAAATGTCCATGATCCAGAATTTTATCACCATAGAATACAAGGGTTCTGGTCATGATCCAGTTGGCATGACAGTGGGCTCTGACCACTGGGAACCAATTGTTCCCCCACCTATTCTGCCAGAGGAAGTCTCTCCAATTCATTTACCTTATCATCCTGCGAGTCTGGCTGAAGCAGACTATGTTGCTGGATTGCCATTGGAGGGGGAAGTGGCACAGTGTCAGCCCCTTCTTCACCTTCTTCCTCTCCACAGCTCTGCATGCCAGACGAGGATGATTTGGAGAGGGTGCCACTACTCAAGCCTTCATTCCGGCCTCTCTGCAAAGAAAATCATATTCATACTTATTGCTTAGATGGTGCTCAGTCATATTCAAAGTGCTTTATAACCTTTATATTTAAAAGAGCCTTATATGATAGGCCAGTATTCCTGAAATATAGCTCATTTTCTTTTTCATTTTGTCAAACTGGCTACATCCTTCTCTGTATTGTATTCGGTTCAAACCTTAAAATTCTCAGTTCTAAGAGCACTCTACTGACCTTTCTAATACTCTAATAACCTTGAGGAAAGTTCAACTGTGACCTTCTTTTGACCAAACAAAACCTCCTAAATTCTACTTTAACTAGTGAAGAAGCCCAGTTCCTATTAGTGCTAAGTCAGAATTTTTAAAATTATTATTAATTCACAAATCCAATATTATTACAGCTTGGTGTTATATGAGAACCAACCATTTTTACTATAAAATCGCTCTCTGAGTGATTGCCAATTATTTTGGATCTTTTTATTTTAATTGATTTTAATTGTTTTGTAAATCGCCCAGAGTCATTTAACAAGATGGGCAGTGACCAATTCGATAGATAGATAGATAGATAGATAGATAGATAGATAGATAGATAGATAGATAGAGCATTTTCAAATTAATTTTAGCTGGGTTTGATGGGACTTGAGTTATGTAAATTTCCACTTAATGTAGCATAAGGAAAATGACCTTGATAGAGATATGCAGGAATCGCTGCCTAGATAAAACGTGCTGAAGCATTTTTAAAATCCAGAATGATATAACATTTGGAAGGGTCTTGAGCAGATGCCTCCCTAATTCACTGAAGTATAAGGAGAAGGAGATACAGCACAATTAGATTTGCAAGATTCTGTTATTATAGCCAATCTTGATAAACATAGTTTTATCCTTCCTGTGAAATTTGCCAAATTCAAATAATTTAGTTTAGACCCATTCTTATATTGGGAAGTTTACTGCATTGGTAAAATTGGTCTACTAATAAATATTTATTTATATCCTCGCAAATAAGATGTGGTGAATCTTGCATGCTTCTCCTCTATTCTCTTTATTAGGGAATGAAAGTTTCTGCTTTGGCACTTTAAGTAAGTTCACATATCCTATTGAGCTGAAATGTGAACTGAGGGGTTTTGGTTTAGCATACTTCGTGAAGGTAGAGATTGTAGCTACTGACTAGTTCTTTATGGGTCTTAAATAATCCAGCAACATCCCAAAGTGGGGGGAAGGCAAAAATATGCCCTGTTAAAACATTTCTAGGAGGTTAATGTTTGAAGGAGCCCTAAAGCCTTGAAAACATACAAACACTTCTTCAGTACAGCAAGACAAAGTTTGTGGATTTAGATTCAGACCATTCATTGTAATTACTATCAAGCCATTTTTTTTTTTATTCCTTACTCTTTCCTTGTAATGTACCTCTTAATAGCAGGGCAGAATTAGCAAGCCAGATTCCTCTCCTCCTTCTGCCTTTTCCTGGCACCCACAAAATATGCAAAAATAAAAATGCATATTTTGGTCTCTCTTAAGGGTTTGTCAAACATCTCCAAAGGGGATCCTCCTTTGTGTCCATTCCTTTGGTGGTGGACTTGATGCCCCTGGCAGCCTCTGACAGAAGTTCATAGGCAAAGAAAACTGTTTTCCACCAGTACAAAGGAAGCAAGCAATCTTCCTGCTATCTATTCACCATTTTATTGTTCAATATGTTTTATAGTCTGTGTCACTTTGTATTAATTATTTATGGTTTTTTTTTTTGTCTTTTCTGCTCCACCCAGAATCATACTGTTTAAGTTGGGCAGCCATATAAATGCATTGTCCACCTGGGCCACATGGTCTTCTCAGACTCCGGTCATATAATCAAACCTAACTACAGAACTGCTGCTACTTCCCTCATAAATTGTTAGCCTACATGTATAGTTAATGCTTATTTTAATAATCTACCACAGTGTTCCTCAACCTTGGCAGCTTGAAGATGTGTGGACTTGTCTAATTATGCTGGCTGGGGAATTCTGGGAGCTGAAGTCCACACATCTTCAAGCTGCCAAGGTTGAGGAACACTGATCTACAGGACAATTAGTCACATATCTTTGACAGAGGCATCAATGGTAAAAAGAGAGATAATTTGGAGAATGAAAATAGCCAGATGTAGCCGCTTCTGGAAGACCACTATGGAAAATATAGAAGTAAATGGCTTGTTAAGGGTTTCTTTTTTCCTTTTGTCATTAAAAATGCAATCCAAATAGTGGTGTTCCTCAATGTAATTATTTCCAAGAAGGTAACAAAAACCATGATGCCGAAGACTTATTTTCAGAAAAAGGTGAGCAGCCTCTCATAAAAAATGGACACCTACCTCTTCAAGAGTTTCATCTTGGGGTGTAGCTGCACTGTCATCAGAGTCCTTCTGAGAGCCGGTATCAGCACTTTTGCGGACCTCACGACTCTTCTTATGTTTGTGGGCCAGTTTCTTTACATGGCCATCTGCCTTTCCACTGCTAAGTCGCCTCACTGGGCTAGTGAGCCACTTCCTCAGGGTATTGCCTGGGCGTTTAGGACCTGGGGAGCTTTGTGCACCAATTGTATGGGGCTGGAGTGACGTTACTGATGCAGGGGGACTCGCATCATTGCTGGAAACTGAAAGAGAATCTGAAAAGGAGAAAAACAATGAAGATACAAGAAAAACAATGGCTGGGGGAATAACTGTTTTACAAAACACACTCATTCCTAAAGCAAGTAAAAAAAAAAAAGTATGAGCTCTCACTATAATCATTGTGAAACTCTATATAAGCTTTATATGAATACTAGTTCATATACATATTGCATACTTTTGCTATACTAAACATTCCTTAGTTGATGTATTAGCTAGCAACCAGATGGCTCATAAGTAATGTTCCCTATATCTAATGCAGGAATGCTTCTAACTTATGGTGAAATGATCTTATATGCCATCCTTAAAACACAATTATCTGATTTCCTTTTTTTTTTAATATAATTTTTATTAAGAATTTTTACATAAGTAAAAGGGAAATGAAAAGAAAAAATATGGAAGAATAGAAAGAAAAAAAAGAAAGTGCAAAAACTAAAGCAGAATAAGAAAGAAAAATAGTTAAAGAAACAAGAAAAAACATGTGACTTCCAACCTTCTTTTCAACAATTATGAGCAAATTCATTATCCTCCCTCCCTCCCTCAGTATTACAAAAATCTCTTATTTAGTCCTTTTTCAATCATCAAAACCATAAATCATCACTTTTTTCCATTTTCATCCAAAAGTCTATAAAAGGTTTCTAGTCTTTTATAAAAGTACTTGTTCTATCCCTGACCAAACAGGTCAGTTTTGCCACTTCTGCCACTTCTGATATCTTTACAATTCATTCCTCCATTGTGGGAATTTTAGTATTCCTCTGCGCAACAATTCCCTGATTTCCAAGGAATATTTCTCCTTTATAGTTATGCAATAGTTCAAGGCTTGTGGGAATGACAAGGATTTTATAAATTAATGCAAAATAATTCCATGTGATTGGTATAGGACTGCATGTATCAGTGGTGCACCAGCAACAACCTGATGTGCAGATAGTCCTAGAACCTCATTTGTACAGCAGCAACAACAAAATACAGAGCAAGTAATTTTATTTCTGACTACAGATAGGAGGCTCATATATCTGAACGCTCTTCCACTAAATATTTGTTTTACTCCTTTCACACACATAGGGTTATCCTTTGAAAGAGTAAGGTTGCAACTTAGCTTCTCACATGGATCAACATGATGCAAATAAACAAGGCTGCTTGCATTCTATACCGCTCCATGATAATTTTGTATATCAGCTATCCCAATCATGCCACTGGTAGAACTCTATAAAACTGTCTGTGTGTGTGTGTGTGTACAATTCATCGCACTTTTTAGAATGTCTTCATTATTAATTATTTGCATTTACATTAGTCACAGGGAAGGAAAAGCCACTAGAATCACACTTCAACAGCTTTTCATACTTCTATCCTTTATCTTTACATTGCTACGATTCATTTTCTTCCAAGATGAATTATATGCTGAATGCCACATTTCATGGCAGAGATGGGAAATCCTTTGGAAAACTACAACTCGCAGTAGTCACAGCCAACGTAGCCAAAGCTGAAAGATACCTGCTTTAGAGAAACACAGGTTTCATGCTGAAGAATCTTGGTGTACATGCACAAACAAAATACTCCAGCTATAAAGCTCTCAAGATAAAAATGTGATAGACCTCACTGTCAAAGGACAGGAATGGAAGATGGAGAAAATGATGTTGCTATACTATGAAAATACGCCTGAATTGTTATATGCTGTTCCTGCATTTATTTTAACATTTAGTGAGGCCTGGGGGAGATATTCATTGACTATTCTCCCAACAGCAAGATAATAAACATTTATCCCTCTTGTTAAGTCTTTGCATTTAACTAGCTAAGCCAAGCCAAGAATATTGTCCAAATTTGTAACGCGATTAAACAATGCAGACACCAGATGAGTGTTTGGGACTTTCCTATCAATTTTTCAGATGACTCAAGGATGTACTTTTGTTTAGACTATCCATAAAACCCTCCAAGGGATAATTTGCTGCTGTCTCCTCTGGCTTGAAAGACAGCTCCATATGCGTCTCTGTGAATGGAGGTCAAAGTTCATAGAAAGTCCATACACATTAAAAAAAAAGAAAAAAAAAAAGAAGGGAAGGCAGAATAGTTAAGCTACAACAAAAACAAATAACGAAAGCCCCTTTTCCAGCCAAGCTAAAGATTACTGCTCATTCTCAACTAAGAAATATGACCCTGCTTATCTGTGATTGTTGCCTTTGATTTTTTAAAAACCAATCATGCCTTGGTACTTGATGTTTCAAAAGCAGCTGCTTACATTTCTTGGTTGAGTTCCAACCAACTTAAGCTGAGGCCAGAAGTTACTAGGGAATCTATCTTTAATTGTGGAACTGCAGGAGCCAATGAAATAATTACAATTTTTTTCACAACTGAACAGTTCTTACTCCAGAACATCAGACATAAGCATTCCTTCTAAAAATTACACAATACTTCTATTCCAATAAATCTGTGATAAGATCAATCTTGCAATTTAGTGAAAATGAGGAAGTCTATTTTATTATTAGGAATCATTATGAGGAAGCATTTTTGTTTTAATTTTTTATATAGAAATATTTATTATTCCTTAACAATGGACCTTGGAGAAAAAGAGGTTTATTATGAAGAAACTGCCAATTTAGAAGCAATGTGCTTCTTACAAGAACTCAGCAAATTCCTTTGTTTTAATGTGATATACCTTCTACATGAGTACATGCAGAGATTAAACATATTAAAGATATTCCATTCATCATATGTATCTGTTTTTCTTTATTTAGAGGATACCATGAAAGAAAATTAAATTTAAACATGTTTTACATAAGGAGCACTGGGGAATTACATGAGTACCATGATACATCAATGTAAGGGCATGATTGAGTACCTTTACTTTTACTTCTTTCCTTCAGGGTAAACTGATGGCTTCACGCACATATACAGAAATGTGTGCCTTCTTCCAGAATTTTTTTTTTACTTGTTTAGCCTACAGCCCTGGTATTCCCCAACAAGTCTCCCAGCAAGTACTAACCATGCACAATGGTGTTTAGCTTCTGAGCCCAGCAAAAGTCATATAAGTAACATCACCTCCTGAGGTTCTTTATTTAGGTGGTGAGAAGCGTCAAGTATCCAAAATTTCCTAAGTCTGCATACTATATAATAATGCAATATCACCTCTAAGAAAGCAAATTAGAATGAGTTTAGTTTAAATCTACTGATTATGAATTTACCAGGTCACTATAATCACACTATTAAACTCCCATTTTCTATCATGAAGAGAATATCAGTAAATCTCAAAACTATAACACAGATTATACAGTTGATATAAAAAGCACTTTGAAAATTCTGAACTGTGTAAGTTTGTGTGCAAGCATGTGCACGTGTGTGTATGATGTTACATGAACAACACAATAGACAATAGTTGTTCATATATATGAATTCTTTGTTCAGATTTTCTATATGGAGGTTCAATTGATGCAAGAAATTATTGCATCTGAAGTCTCTCACAGTTAAATAGCGTTAAGAGTTGGAGAAAGTGTTGGACCGAACCCAATCTGAAGTCATTTCCTTTCTTGTTGACATGGGAAGCAGGCCACTTTCTAACTCACTCGGAACGGGCTTTTTAGGCTAAGCTGAAATAACATTAAATTAACTGACATTGTTAACTTGAAATCCAGAGGTGTTCACCCATGTCTTTATCCCACTGCAACATTTTCTCTCCTTCGCAGAGTCATTAATAACCTTTGAACAAAAATGCACTACATGGTATGGTATGGTATGGTATGGTATGGTATGGTATGGTCCCCTA